AAGAATATGCAATGTTTTAAAGTAGATGGAAATTTATTCCTTAATTTCCAAGTGGAAAAGGGACCATGAGCCATTGTGTATCATCTTCAACTGTCATGAGATTGAAAGCTACAGTTGCTTAGGGAAGCACACATTTTCTAGCCTCTAATATCTATATGGTGTGTCTCTTATGGTCCCTAAGAAGAATTTTGAAGGTCTGGAGAGATGGCTAAGTGGTCAAGGTTACTTGCTGCTCTTCCTAAATTTACTATTCAACAGCTCACAACCACCCATAAACACAAGGTTCATGGGTCCTAACACCCTTCTCTGTCCTTCATGGATGCCAGCACACATGTGGCATTTACAAAACCAGCTATATGCATACACACATAAATAAAAACAGCAATAAATCTCGAGAGATGTTGTATGGTGTACTACAATGTGGTATCACAGGCCCATTTCTCACTTTAGTCAAAATGTTTTGACACTGTTTAGCTAAGAAGCTCATGCTGGAGTACCAAGGATGAGGTATTGTACTCTGTCTCCTTGAACTTGTCACACAATCTGGGAATAGAAGGATGGATTGTGTTTCTGACTATTAGTGTTGGGGTGTGCTGGTGTGAGGGTGGGGCAGGAGTGTGTCCTTTATTTTCCCTTTAGTCATCTGGGTCCTGAGTGTGAATGTCTTCTGTTGGCAGTGATGAGATGATCCCATTATCAAAGAATCAAACGAACATTTGGATAAGCCCATTCGAACATTTTAAGCCCTCCCTCCATTTTTTGGCGGTCAGAGGTATACTATAATAGAATTAAAAGCATCTACTATATATGAGACTACAGTCATAGTGCATGCAATTTAAATTATGTTCAATGAAACCTATCTCTTAAATAAACTAGATTTGAACCATGTTGATGTGTTTCAGTAAGAAAGATTGATAATCCAAGAAATTTCAACTCTGGGTACATGCTTACAGTGTAAATTTCTTGAGGATATCTACTTGATGTACTTTTGGACTGTGATTTAATTTTCTTTCCATTTTTAGTAGAGAGACACATGCTGATGATCTTTCTGTCTTCTCTTTCCAGTGTTCAGGGATAGTTATTCACACCTGTGATCCCACTCTTGGGAAATGGAAACAGTTGGTTCATGACTTTGCAGTTAGCCTGTGTCATATAGTGAAGTCCTGTCCCTAAAACACAAGAACAAACAACAGACCACATCAAATTGCGTTTGCAGGAACCCAAGAACTTTAGACTATGGTTAGAGTTTTGTGAGGTTATTTTAAAAATACAGAACATCAAAAGACTTTTCAAGGATATTATTTCCCCCTCTATGCTTTATGGTTGTTTTTAAACCAAAATGGTCTAGTTTTTGGGGGGTGGGGGGACATTTCAAAGGGATAGTAGAGGTGGCAGTTTTCGATGTGCCCTCAAAGTGTCTTCATTGTATAGACTCTTTAACCATTCTGATATATGATGGAGGCCCTTCCAGTCTCAGAGCTGGTTGAAAGGGATTTGGAAAAAAAGACTTTGGGTCCTAGGTTAAGGAAAAGTTAATAACAGGTGTATTGCTTTATACAAGGGACAGTCATGTGTATCGAGGAAGCTCAGTATAGGATAGAACTAAGCTGCCTTCTCAAATCCACCTGCCCAGGTGGATCTTGAGCTGTCACTCACAAGCCAACCATTTACTTCTTGCATGACAAAATTTCTTACTCACGGCACAGTACTTTTGTTATTTGTGGTTCTTTTCACTCATTTCCTTCCAGTATCTCCTTCTCTCTTCTAGTCTAGTATTTTCCTTCTCCATATCTATACTGCATGTTGATCTTAGTCTTCATTTATTTTCACTTGATTTCACAGTGGAGTTAGTTTATTTCTACTTTGCATTTGTGTCGCTAGCTTGTGACTTTGCAGGGTGTTTTGAGATGTGAATTTTTCTTTGCTGTTTGAACACAGGCTTTCTACAAAAGAGATCAATAAAAAGGATGGAGACAAAGGGAAAATTAACCCAATCTGGGTACCTATGGAATGAGATGGAGGGAAGCTGAGGATTTTAGTATAGGGCTCACAATATCTGGTTGATAATGGCTCTAATAAACAGTTTATTTTATTATATTATTCTTCTGAACATATTTGTCAACATGCTCACCTGAGCCTGTAAGCTAGCTTTTGTGGACAGTTTACCAGTTCAAAAACTGCAGGGAGAAAAAAAAAAAGCTAAGAATCTTTGTGTGCATGTCTAATGTTAATAACAAACAAACAAAATAAGACAAACCCTAGAGTTTAAGTAGGAGATCTATTTGCTCTTACTGTAATATTTAAGTAAGCAGCAGAAGAAGAAAAGATACTTCCCTTCCTGTCCTCTATGCTAGGACTTGTCTATGGTTCTCTGTTTGGAGGAAGTGGGAGGGATAGAAGCAGATTTGGGGTTTGCTTTATTAACTGTTGATTAGCTTTCAAACAAAAGATCTCTGTTCAAGTGGAGATAACACTAGTGTCAGTTTCAACAAAAGGAGAATATGCTTTTTGATTAGCCTGATGAAATAGTGTTGTCTGGGACAATGGTTGCATTTTAAAGCCACATGTTAATATTCTAGCACACTCTGGCACAGGTTGGCAAGTGACTATTCCATGTTATCCTCTGATTTTTAGTTTTAAAGATACAATCTTAGCTGAAGTTCAGAAAATAAGTAGATAGGAGGCATATTTATACTCCCTTCTAAAAATTCATTACTCCTCCCTAATACAGTTACCCATCTTTGTTTCATGGTAGCACTATTTCTTGGCTCGATACAGTGTTTGATTTGTTTTCATTCTTATATTCATTCTGTAACAGTTTTAAACACTGTCAGCAAACACTATTTTGTTTGTATCACAGGAGGACATTTGACAAAAGTACCTGCTTCCATGGAATGTATGCTATGGTGGAGTGGTTACTTAGTTTTTCATTATTATAAAAAGCTCATGATAAAATCCAGTTACAGAAAGAAAAATAAGTGATTTTGGTTGATTTCAGAGGTTTCTATTTGTGGCAACTTGGTCCCATGATTTTGGATCTGCAGTCAAGAAGGCCATTGGTGTGAGGGATCCATGATGAACTGGGGTTCAGAGAAGGGTGATGATAGAATCCTATTATTTCCTTTAAAGGATGCTCAAAGTGACAACGATGCCTCATCTTCTAAAGTTCTCCTGGCCTCCCAATAACACCACCAGCTTGAAGTCAAAGCCTTGAAGACATAAGTATTCAGGGAGCCTTCATGACTCCAAAGATAACATGGAGTAATAGATAAGAAGCAAAGAGATGAACTATGGAATTTAGTGATGAGCAAGTAAGGGCTGGGGATCAGAGAGTCTTAGGGAGATATGAAGGTACAGTTATAATAGAGTTCACAGAGGTACCAGATGAAAGGAGGTAACGGCATTTGGCAGAATGCAGATGAATAGAAATGGGTTAGTTTAAGTAGTAAGAGCTGCTTAGTAAAAAGCCTGAGCTATCAGCCAAGCATTTATAATTAATATTAAGTCTCTGTGGTGGTTATTTGGAACTGGTGGGTGGGAAAGAAAAGTCTGCCTGCAGGCCTGAGCAAAATTCTCAGAGAAGGGACCAAGTAACTTAAGAATTGGTGACTTTTCAGGTATAAGGAAAGAAGAGTATTATGGGTGTAGGTAATTGCCCATGAGGGCTTGGATACCCTGTGGAAGATGGCCACGGGTGTAGGAGCATAGTTAGCTATTGGGAATACGGGATGTTACAGAGATTAGGAAGCATGGGCAGATGATCCAGCAAGTCCATGTTGGGTCATGCTGTTCATCTGTGTACAAAGAAAGCTTTCAATGCTGTTTCAGGGTACATCATGTTCTTTAAACACTAATGTTGTGTGCATCAGTTATGACACTTATGGACAGTTACTCTCTACCTCATTTTCAGTGTCTACTATATACCCCGGTCTTTAATAGACAAAAGATTTAAAATCTAGCACTCATCTTGCCACTGAAGGGGCTACTAATCTCTAAACTGTAGAGGATGGATGATTTATTTTTTGTTTTTATATTCTTACATTTTCACATAGAAGGGCACTTCCCACTATCTTAACAACAACAACAACAAAAATATCTACTTACCCTAATGTGTTTCCACTATGATGGATTTGTCATCTCAAATAACAACACTGAATCTCTCCAGAACCCCTTCTTATCCATGCCTCTAGGTGGCAGTATTTGTTATCCTTCACTGAAGGCAGAATTGAATTCTTCTGTATTGGCTAATCCCAGTCTGACAGTCAGGAAACCAGCCCAGGACTGACCTGGACCCCCTGAATGTGGGTGTCAGTTAGGAGAACTGGGCAGTCTATGGGGCCTCTGGTTGTGGATCAGTATTTGTCCCTAGTATATGAATGGACTTTGGGAGCCCATTCCACATAGAGGGATACTCTCTCAGCCTCGACACATGGGGGAGGGCCTAGGCCCTGCTCCAGATAATATGACAGACTTTGAAGATCCCCTATGGAAGGTATCACCTTCCCTGGGGAGCAGAAGGGGGATGGGCTGGGGTTTGTTGGCTGTGATAGGGGAGGATGGGAGAGGAGGGAACTGGGATTGACATGTAAAACAAGCTTGTTTCAAATTTAAATATAAAAAAAGGGAAAAAATTCCCTTGCTTCAAGACAGAGGTGGTCTCATCATGTATGAATTTTCACTAAGTGACTAACACAATTGACATTCGTAAACAAGGGACTTTTGGGGAAAATAAAAAAAATTGGGAAAGATAATTAAGGCTGGTATGCAGAACATTGCATGGGGGCTACTCCTATGTGTGAAATAGCTAATGACACAAGCATGCCTCATCATGTGTTTATTATACTGAAAAGGAATCATATTCTCATCATGTGCTAATAGAACAGGAAAAAAAGACTGGGAATTTTTGGTACTTACTGTGAAAAATATATGTCAAGTGTAACTGAGAGAATAAGAAATTTTGTTCTTTAAGGTATTGACTGTCTGCTTCCTTTCCAATCCAGAACCTCAATCTTCTATTTTGGAAAGCCCGAAAAAATGTTCAAATGGTGTCCAGCAGGTAAGAAAGCCTGATAGGATGGCAAATCCTATTTCCATTATTTGCCTTAAAACAGCAATAGATGTGTGATTGATGTTCCTGTCTACACAGATGGCTGGGTTGTCTGAGTCTTAACTTGCAAGGGAACCCTATCAGGCAAAAGGAAAAGCTCCTTTTAATTTATATTTTGCAATTCCATTCATCCTTCAAGATGAATGAACCAAGTACAAGCTTTGCAGACCTATATCATTCAATTTCCAATGATGTTGTTGGTCCTGGCATTTGCTGTCTCCAACAGGAACTTCAGGCCACCTCAGGAAATGTCTGTACTGTGACATATCTAAGTACAGTCCCAGGGGGACTCTTTAAAATCATTTTGGCATGGACATTCATATCTAATAAGACATATTTCTACTACCATATGGATGGAAGCAAGGGCTTTATACATAGGTGGTAATGGCTGTGTTCTCGAGTGAACCCTCCAAGACTCTTAAATTGCTTTAGAAGATGATATATTTGATGACATCTTTTTAGGCACTTGTATCTATTATGACCCATGTCTGTAATCCCCATGCTGTGGAGGCAGTCAGGGAAGCCTAAATACTCACTGGCATAGTCAAATCGGTGAATTCTAGCTTCATCAAGAGACCTTGCAAAAATGGAGAATGATTAAGGAAGTCTTTGGATATTGACTTATGGCCCCCATACACATACACAAACATGCTCTGACACTTATGCAAGCACACATATACACACATATATACAAAAAGGAAACATTTCATAGAACCCTGACTGTGGATGGCAGTTGCTCTTCTGGATATGCAAGGAGCTGTTGAGTCTATTTATAGTTACTCCCAACTCTGCCTTTGACACTGATTTTACACTACATTAGAAAATAAGCTAGTCTTCACTGTAAGCCAACAGGAGGGAGATTGGTTCTGGTCTACTGAGTCTGGTCTATGGAAGGTGAGAGGGGTCTTACTCAAACTCTAAACCTGTGTTGGTTTTTGGATAGTGGATAAGGGCCTAGGTAGATTATGTAGGACATGGTGTTCTCCCCTCTGAACTTGAGAATTGCTGACATTTGAGAATGCTTCAAAGTAAAGACTGCGTTCTGTTGTAAACATACGTTTATTGTTACATGAAAGTGTCCTCTTGGAAGTGAGGTCAAGCTATGAGGTTTGCTTAGAGTTGTCAGTCTCGGTGTTCTCTACAACACACCAGCTAGATGAGCTTTTACTGTTCAGATTAAAGCCACTGTTAGGGACTGAGTCACAATAACCTCTCCAGCTTTCTCTTAGTTCTTGTTGCTTGTATCAGAGGGGAGACTGTACCGACTGAGGTGCACTAGACATGACTGATGACACCAGCCTGTCGTTATTTAAGTAGCTGCAATGACTAATTTATTCTGACCAGAGATCAAAAGCTATAATTATGAAAATGGAATAGTAAAACCAGTAACAACAAACACAAAACAACAAAAACTATTGCCTTGAGCCAGATAGATGGTTCAGTGGTTACCAGCATTTGCTGCTCTTTGCAGAGCACTGAGTTCAGTTCTTATGTAAACGTTCTTTGACCTATATAGTCCTTATAGTTACACTTTAAAATAGCTACCATGTTTTCCCCCTTTTACTGATAAAATGATGTTTGGAGGTGATGAAAGCAACTCTGCTAAAACTCCAAAAGCCATATCAGTAAATAAAAATTTGAGCGTAGGTGTTTATTTCTCACATATCCTATGGTGAAAAATTCTACTTTTATGTGGGTAATTTCCAGGTGACTGTTTTGTACCATCTCATTGGAAAACCATTGGATGAATGAAATGAGACGCTCATTTTAAGAGTTATATTATTTTTAAACTATACCTTTTGTATATCTCCAAATAGATTTGTTTCTTTCTTTACAAGTTTTACTATAACTTCAATGTGTGGTATTAATTTTACTGTTTAGTTGGTTGGGTGTGGGGAACTTAATGGTTTCTGCCAATGAAGCCCTTTGCAGTTTGCATCTTGGTCACTGGAGGGCAGCTCTGCACCTTTGTAAATTGCCACTGCCACTGGGAAAAGAATACTCCAGGTTGGTTTCGTCCAGGTGCTCATGTACGTGTGTGTGTGTGTGTGTGTGTGTGTGTGTGTGTGTGTGTGTGTGTGTGTATCTGTGTCTGTGCATGCTTTTGTGTGTGTGTGTGTGTGTGTATCTGTGTCTGTGCATGCTTGTGTGTGTGTGTGTGTGTGTGTGTGTGTGTGTGTGTGTGTGTATGATGATCAGGGGTGGTTTGCTGGCCCATCCTCTGCTGCCTGTATTATTCTGTGGTTGGATTAGTAGATGTTCAGGACTGCTTAGCCAGGCCACTAGTGCCTTCCTCACATGTGCATCAGGCACCTGTTCTCTCTGCTGAAACTCTTTGGAATTTATTGAATGAATGAGTGTCACTCTGCCCATAATTAATAATTATGAGTGTCCAGCATCCCTAGAAACATCACGTGACCATGGAAGCGCCTTTGTAGTACGAGGATTTGCATGCTGTCTGCTGTGCATTCAGAGTGTCAGGGTCTTCAAGAAAGAACAGTGGGCACTCATGAGCAAAGAGGTGGACATGGTCACTTTTTCAGTGCATCTGTTGAGAGCCTTACAGAAACCAGGGGTCTTTTAAAAAGATATAATTGCTTTCTTCAGGTTCTGATGACTTTAAGTTTGTAAGATGCTCTCAAGACATTGTGTTGTCTAAGGAATTGTGCCATAAAATTAAAATGGAACTTCTCACCTTTAACACACATCCTGTGGTATTTAAGCTACAGTATAAATGGAAAACCCTTTTATACCCTGTAACATAGAAATACATAAATACCAACCATTTTCTCTAAAATCTTTTCCTTTAACTTACTAATTGGGTATATAGCATGTTTTACCCCATTGTCACCCAGTTGGTTTTTAAAAGATTTTGAGTGTGTGTGTGTGTGTGTGTGTGTGTGTGTGCATGTGCCTGTGTGTGTTTGTGCATGTGTGCACAGGTGTGTGCACCCATTTTTTTTTTTTTTTTGCTTTTGAAGTTTCAAACAGAATTTTTATTTTGCAGCATCTTCCTATAGCTCTCAACTGCTTTCTAATGTAAATTGGTGGTTTGAATGGAATTCTAATTAAAAAACAAAACAACTGTAGATTTTGATAAAATTAATAATGTTAGGCAATTAAAACTTGGGTCCCTACCAGTTAATATTTGTTAATGATGACTTCATAAGGTGGTCAGTAATAGTACCAAAGGTGAATAAATAACCAAAATGAAACCAGTGTAAGAAAGGTCTAAAGGAGAGGGGAAGTAATTCAGGAAGTGTAGGTCAGGCATCCTTCAGGCCCAACTCAGTTTATGATCATTTCATTTGCTCAATCAATGCGTGGCAGTGTTTAGACAGTGTGGGTCTCAGGAGGGGCAAGGTGGCCAGGGTGGGCGAGAAGCACAGATACTGAGTGGTGGAGATGCAGGCACTAAACTGGTAACCCTTGAAGACCATGTTTATCATGCCATGCAGCAAGGAAGACAGAACCCTTCTGGAAAGAACATTTTTGTTTTATGAAAACTCAAAGGAGACTGGGGAATGGTGTAAGTGTTCTAACATCCGAAAATGAGGAGACACTCATTTCAGGTTTTTGTTGTTGCTTTGAGGCATGGTCTCACAGTGTACCTCTGTCTAGTCCAGAACTCACTCTGCAGATCAGGCTGGCCGCGAACACACAGAGATCCGCTGGCCACTGCCCTCCAAGTGCTGAGATTAAAGGTGGATTTCACCAGGCCCGACTCTTGTCTTGGTTCTAAAAAATGAAAAGCAGTAAATCTCTGGGAAGCAGTAAGAGTGTGTGTTTAGCGTGGTGGGAAAGAAATGGATGCCACACAGTACTTTTGTTTCACTCTAGAGCAGAAAGGGCTAAAATGAAACTAAGAGCCTGTTCTGTTAAGTTTTAGGTGGTGTAAAGCCAGTTCATGCTACACAGTGTTGCTAAGGAGAGAAAGACTGCTATTCAGGGAGCGAATCTGATAGAATATTAACCAAGGAGACCCCCTTGCTTATTAAAGGATTCTTCCCATAATCAAACATGTTCTGTTCTATGGTGTCCTTTTTGGGTCTTGATTAGGCAGCCATGCAGACGAGTATCTTCTCTGGGTGTATCTTCTCTGTTATTTCTAGATGAATTCTCACCTAAACTCTCTGACCCTCTGGCTCTTCTAATCCTTCTGACCCCTCTTCTGCTGTGATCCTTGAGCCTTAGTTGCAGGAGTTGTGCTGTAGACATATCATTTGTTGCTGGGTACCACTAAGTCACTCGTTCTCTGCATTTGATTGGTCATGGTTTTCTATGATGATTTCCAATTGTTTTGAGGAGATGTTTCTTGAATGAGGGGTGAGACCTACACTTATCTGTGGGTATATAAGGACAAATATTTAGAATGCAGTTAGGAATTATGCTGGTTTAATAAAGTGGTTGTTGCATTTCAATTTAAAAAAAATAAAAATATTATGTATTTTTAAAAAACTAAAAAAAAACTCTAAAAACAGAAACAAAGAAGCAGCCAATGAATGTAGTTATAGTGCTGTATGTTTTCCATATTATCTGTAAACCAACTTAGAAGGCACAGTGTAACTGCCAAGATATTAAATATATGTTATAGACTATTGGAGTAATTAAAAAACTAAAAACATTGTGGAGAGACTATAATAAATAGTTTCTTAAAAAGGTGAGTTCTTCATCAACTTAATTTGTAGTAGTGTGGGAAGAAGAGCATCCCACAGGGGAGCAGAAAGTAGAGATCCCTAAGTGGAAGTGAACTTGACATTAGAGTTGCTATGTCCAGTTGGCTCGATGGGCAGCTTTTATCTTCTGATGGTAACATGACCTTTGTCTTTGGCCTCTAGTTCACTGCATGTAACTGGACATGACTGAGCCCACAGCCCATTGTTATCTGGGTTACAGCCACAGTCTCCTGGTGGACCTCCTTACTTCCAGTCTTGACCCCTTCTAATCTC